GTTAACCGCGGGATATGCCCAATTTGATCAGGGTCTGTACACCCTTTATACTCCTGGCCTCAAGAGAGCCTTCCTCCATGAATATTACATCACCAAGTCGCTCCACCCAAATAGAGTATTATAACACTCAACTGCTCCATCCAGAAATCGAACTCCCCACCCTGAGGTTGCAACCCTAGCAGTGACCATCCTTTTGCCTTTACCAACTTGGATGTGCCCCGGGGGGCTCAACGAGCTCAATATTGATATACTTATCATCGCTCTATCAATATCTAAATTTTTTACCCAAATAAAATTGAATTTGATACATATATCATTGTAGTCCACCAATTTTTCGAAATTTAAAAAAATAGTATATAGAACAATTAATTTTATTCTATAAAATTTGAGGGGCTTTACAATAATGTTGGAGATTTCTCATCGAGGGCATGAATGGAAAATTAATTTTCGACTATTGTACAAAAAAATTTGTGGCTGTCGAATGAGTAGGCACTTTTTATTTAATTAATAAGCTACTGTTGAAAAAATTGAGAAAATTTTATAATGCCAAATAGGGGCTTAAAGAACTTTTTCTGCGGAGTTGTGAGGGTGACTATTGTTGGATAATAGTCAACGACCAAGCCACCAAGGCCAGAAAGAATTATGATGAAAATGTAATTTTTTTTCTTTTGGAATTTCTTACTCAAAAAAGGTTTTACAACTTGTGAAATTTGTTATTCTATGCTTGAAGTTATCTGGTCCCTTATTTTTCTTTCCTTTTTGCATTTGACCTTTTTTAGGCTCATGACACATAGCGTTAAGGTCCGTTTGATTGCAAATGTAAAATTTGGGTGGAAAGAAAATATTTTACTGAGAATTGAATTGTTTAAAATTTATTTTACTTGAAATTGTAATTAATTGTATTTAATTGATATAATTTTCCACCTGAAAATGTTGAAAGTTTTGTGCCCGTTTGGTTTTGTTTTTCATGAAAATTATTCATTAAAGTGATAATTTTTTTTACCATGGGATCTAACATTTGTTCCAATTGTCAATTTTTTTTTTAAAAAAATACCATACTGAATACCATTAGTTTGACTTTGTTTTGCGTTAAAATTGTCAATAAAAGTAATAAATTTTTTTATCATTATCTCTAAAAATTTTACCAATTGCCAAAAGAGAAAAAAATCTGAAAAATCAAAATCAACCAAAATAACAAGAAATATTTTTCCTCCAAAAGCTGGAAAGTAGGCGTGTGGGTGGATTAGGTGGCAAAAATTTTCCAAATTTTTGAAGTCAAACGATGTAGAAAATGGAAAATATTGCCATCAAACAGGGTCTTATCGTTTTTAACAAAAATAACATTAATATGATTTTAGTTAGTTGAAAAAAAAAAAGTAATTATGTACAAAATATACATTTTCATGGTAATAAGTGAAATTTATAAAATAATCAAAATACAGTATGATCATGTTTGGCCTTGCTTCTTCAGCAAAAGAACAGATCATTAGACCTCAGAGTCTTGAAACAGCCTTACTATTATCATCAGAATCAGTATCTCCATAACTTCCGAATCCGACCGTCTCATCGGGTTTTAATGCTGCCATCACATCAGCAAAAATTGTTTTCCTGTTCTCCGCATACACTTTGCCATCCCAATTCCTCTTTACGAGCTCCGTCCCCAGCCTTGCCGCAGCCTCCACCGTCTCCTCGACGCTATCATGTGCGGAGTCCACGATTCCCCACTGAAGCCCCATACCAGCAGTGATTTTGGTGGATTTCAAAATCACCTCCTTCCACACCTTCGGGGACGCGATTTTGCTTTTCACGATTTGCACAAACCAAGAAGGTATTTTCATCCGGATGTCGAGCTCGCTCATGTAGAGGAAACCTCGGTCCTTGCGCATCACCATGTAGTCATGGCTTAGGGCTAGAACGAAGCCGGCGGCCGAGGCGTGGCCGGTTACGGCGGCGATGGTGGGCATAGGCAGGGATATGAGGTCGGAGACTAAAAACTGGAACTTCTTGGACATCAACTTAAGTCGGGTTTGAGCTAGGGCTTGGATCGGGTCTGGATCTGATTCGGCCCATGAGAGGTCGTAGCCATTGGAGAAGAACTTGCCATGGGCGGTAGTGATGAGGGCCGTGGGTCCCATAGACTCGGATTCAATCCTAGCCCGGTGAAGCGCTGCCTGGATAGAGTCGATCAGAATCGGGTTAAGCCGGTGCTCATCATCACCGGAAATTGTAAGGATAAAGAGGCCATCACGTTTCTCCAGAGTGCACATCTCCTCTTCCTCTCTCTTAATGTGGAAATCAAAGGCTAGAGAGAGAATATTCAAAGAGTAGCCGTCAGACACCCAAATCACCCGATAAGAGATGAATTCTATCACGTGTAATTTTAACGACTCTATGGTCACCAAACTTTCAAAACGTGTTATTTTAACAACTGAACTTTTTATTTAACATAAATGCTCATTAAATTTACAAAAATATTTCAATTAAGTCACTCATCAAATATCTGCTACTAATTTTTAAACAATTTTTTAGAAGTATCTAACGTAGTTGCTTGAGCGGGTGACCATGTTGGTGAGATGGCATTAATAAGTAGAAAAAAAAAAAAAATCAATTTCACATAGTAATGGACCAGTCCTGTGATTTTCAGGGTCCGAGACGAACTTCATAAATTAAGCCCCCAAAATCAATGTAAATGTTTTCAATATAGTTACTATGTGCATCTGTACAATTGATTTTACAATAGTTGATCAGGCCACAATTATATAAGCTGACAAGGCTTCTAACATTTTTCAATATATTCAATAACAAGTTATGGTAAGTCATCGCTTACTTGAGAAGTAGAATTTCGATGAAAATCATAAAATCACATCCTTGAGAATTCCACCGTCACATCTCACAAACATGTAATCACTTCTAACAGTGCATCATTTCAATAACATATAACAAATTACACACAATAACATGAATATGGAACACTTTTAGCTATAGTACAAAAATTATCTCATCATTTCAATAACATATAACACCCCACACACAACTTCTCGAAAAAAATTGCACGCCTTAACATTTCCAAATAAGACAAAAATTCAAATGTCTCTTCATATTGTTTAAATTGAATCTCTAAAGAAGATAGAATTTGATCAATTATAAAAAGAAAGTATTCAATTCTAAAAGATTATTCAGCTAATTGTTTTACCTCATCACTTCTACTTTCATCAAGCTGCTTCTTTTTTCCAATCATGCATTTTTCTCGGAATACAACTTCAATTTCCATTTCGCTTGCCTTTTTTGTGGCAACCACAACAACCAATTAAATATGGTTCAACACACGAAGCTTATATATCTTTTTAGACGAGCTTATTTGGTAATAAATTATGGAACCAAGTTAAAACTCAATCAAGATATGTCCAAAATTTGATCAGATTATAAAGATCCAAACAAGATGTACCAGGTTCATAACTTATGACAGAGTCCTGCAGAAGATGAACCAAATTCACAACTTATTATGACAGAGCCCTGCAGAAGATGTACCAAGTTCACTACTTGTTCCAAAATTTGTCTGCACAAAAGAGAAACTAAACTAAGACTACTTGAAACTAAACTAAGAGACACAATGACACATGCAGAATAGCGAAGCCAAACAATCCAATTTTTTAAGGCTTATAGCGCCAAACACAATTAGACATATTTACCAAGAAGTTGAGAACCCAAATTGCAAACAATTAAACTTATAGCCTACAGGAAGCCAGAAGAGGGGCTCTATTAAATAATCATAACCAGATGGAACCATTTTCAATGACATAAGGGGAGAAAAATAATACATTATTAAAAACGAAAAAGAGAAAAAGAGGACTTCTTCAAAATAGTTATCCTAAGCCGCTATCTAGGCGCACTTAAATTTTGGCAATAAGTAATTTTTGGATTGTCGATGTGTGCAACGGTCAATTTTTCACCAAATGGACTGAATTCAATGTCGGAAACTTTTTCCCTTTATGCTCTTCCATTTGAATTTCCAGCACAAATGTTGCAATAATTAGATGACAAATATGATTTTTGGACATGTTGCTTTGCATTGAAGGACAAAGACTACATCACGTGGGCCTGGCGAAAATGGCAGGAAAATTGATTTTGAATTCTCCACAATCACGCCCAAACAGGGCCTAAATATTAATAATAATAATAATTATTATTCTACATGTATATTATGGTTTACACCGTCGTGTACATAATACCCAAGTGACATTTCATCATTCAGCTATATTTTTCATTCTCATTCTTCTACTCATTTTCAACCACACATTTTTCAATAAAATAATATTTTCCATCACATTAATAATTTTTTTTCATTTTCAACCACATATTCCCTATCACATAAAAAAAAAAAATGCATTCTCTCTACAAAAATGCCTACCAAACAGAGGCTAACTATGGAAAAATAGGGTGTAAACCCTGATATACATGTAGCAAAACCATAACAATAATTTACTTAGTAATGTTTAATTATATAGTTAGAAAAATGCCAAATTAAATTGCCCATTTTCTAAAGAAAAGTAACGGTAAGTTTTAATATTGCCTTTGGTCTGTCAAAAACTTCCCTTTTTCACAATAAATACGTACAAAAAAAATAAAATTGATAACCACTTACATCAAAGAACAACGCTCTGTAAAATGGACCATAAAGAGGCGTCGATGACTGAAGAAGACAGCATATGACAGGCGAGATGCACAAACGCACAAATGACAGACGAGAGTAGAAGAGAAGAAGAAAGAGCTCTCGCATGATGTCTAATTTTTTTTTATTTAAAAAAATAATTTGGGCCGAGGCGAGTGATGCCTCCTCTAATGTTGGGCATTCGCCCTAGAACCGGGCCTAGTGATGAAGCCAAAATCAAATCCAATGGGGCATGACTTAATTAAGAAAATAATATTTTTTTAAATATGACAATAATACGCGAATTAGACATTTTTTATTGAGGGGTCAAAATTTAAGTTACAAATAAATTTTTTTAAAGTCTTTTTTTAATACACGTTTAATCAATATTTCTTCACTTGAAAATAGAGATTTCCGTTTAAAATATTTTTTCGTGATTGTTTGATATGAAACTCAAAAAAATAAATGAATGTTAATCTATTTAAAATATTAAGTGCAATCATAAAAATAAAATCAATTTCATTGGTCAATTTAGAAAGTCCTAATGTTTTATTTAGATTGCAAAAAAAAAAAAGGCATCAAGTTATGGCAGGTCATTGCTTACTTCAAAAGTGAAATCGAAGTCGGAACTGAAATTGACACAAATGCCTTTAACAAAAATACAATTATAGAGTAGGAATTTAAATTATTTAGCAAAACGCACCAACCCTTTTTTCCAACAAATAAGTTGACTTATATGCTCGAAACTATAGGAATCCAGTCATATATCATATAAATATATCAATTTTACATACGAATCTCGGGTTGGATTCAATACATCAAAAGACTATTTTCCCCCTTTCTTTTGTCTTCTTCATCTCTCATCATATTCTGATGTTGAATTGCTTGAAGGAGGGCTAAAGCAATTGGAGGATAAACCTTTTGTTCTTCAGTAAATCCCAATTTTAAATTCTTCCAAGTGCTGCATGCAAAATAAAAATGAAAGAAACCAGAAACTATATACTGATTCTTACTAAAAGAAAAACAATAAAACAAGTAGAGAAGTGCGAAAAACCAACCATGATTTAACCTGTGTAACTGTTTAATTCAAGAGGGAATCCAACAATCACATAGAAGTACAAACGAGACATTTGCTAGCATCTAACCATGTTCAGAAAAATTTGCAGATAGTAAGGCACAGGAACGTATTGCACAGAGTCGGACTCTGTGGTAAGGATGGAAAAATACAATATATAGGCTGTAAATTTCAACTCCTTCCATTTAACAATATACTTGAAATCAGATTACAAAGGAACCATTGGCCTCACCATATTACTGTGGCATTCTCTTTCAATTCAGCAATTGTAGCCTATGATATATTCAAGTGAGCATAACAAAATTCACATTGCACAATCAAGTTCAGAAACTCAGGATGATCAAACAGGCCACCCTTTCAGCAATGCATCATCCATAATGAAGAAACATGGAATTGTAACCAAATCAAAAGACAGGCATTGCCCTCGAAATAGTTTTCATAACATCGAGCTATGCAAGGTAAACGATGTCTTTTTGTCTTGCAGTTTTGCACTTTACAATCCTCTGTTTGTCATTTCTCTGGCACCGGTGACGCAGGTTAGACTTGACCATAGTCCCCTGTCAAATCCCTAACCAAAAAAGGTCGGAATGGGAAAAAAAAAAAAACACCTCAAGTGTCAAATATTCAAAAATAAAACTACATTCTCATCATAATTCTTTGATCCTGGTCTTTGATGAATTTTCCAAGTTGCCATTGTTGTCTCCAAGTGAATACCTTCCTTCTCCACTAGTTTCTGCCTAATCCACTTTCTTCTCCCCTTCTTCTCCCGTTCTCCGTCCTCTTTCTTCTTCCCGTCTTCTCAATCCTCATCATAATTCATCCCGCTTTCTTCCTCACCTTTTCTTCTGACTTTCCTCTTTCCCATTTTTCTCTTCCACCACTTTCCTCAATTTTTCCACTATTCCTCTCTCTTTGGACCTCTTTTACGTTTCCTTTCCTCTTCCTCTACCGACGCACAACTATCTTCATTCAGATGCCCAAGCTTCACAATTGCCAACTGAGAAGACTTCCTCATTGATACCCTTCGTTTAAAAATACCCCTGTTCCTGTTTCCTCAGCATCACTAGCCCCATTTTCTATTCCTCCTTTTTCATCCAAATTTCCCTCTCCCCTTTCTTGCTCTTTCTTTTTCTTCCCCTCAGACCTGGTTGCTTCTCTCAGCTTTCGACCTCTTCTTTTTTGTCAATCTCCATACCATCATTTTCTTCAATCTTTCCCATTAACTTCTTGATTTCTCTCTTCCACGTTTTCCAACTCTTGCTTTTCACTCCTCGTAATGGCCTCCTCTGAAAACCTTCCCCCCTGTACACGAGGATTGTGGCTGCTAATTAATTCAAGGTTGAAGGTCGGTTTGTAACCAAAGAGAATGCAATGAGGTTCAAAGCTCGAGAAAGATGACGATAATTTACCCTAATTATTATAGCTGCATCAGTAAAGGCTAAATAAGAGACTGCATTGATAGCACAAATAGAATCATCTTTTTCATATAGCATCTTCTCCAAAATTCATACATCCAATTACGTTAATAGAAAGAAAATCTTATACCGGCAATCATAATATAAAGTACGCTAACATTGCGTCTTCTACAAAAGAAGCTAACTCAGTTGGACAGTATCACAGTGATATGATAAAACATGCTATTTGAGCTACGATCAAAAGCTCACAGTTTCGAAACAGCCTTATGACTATCATTACAATCAGTATCTCCAACCGTCTCATCGGAACTTAAAGCCGCCATCACATCAACAAAAAGGGTCTTCCTGTTCTCCGCATACACTTTTCCATCCCAATTCCTCTTCACCAGCTCCATCCCCAGCCTCGACGCGGCCTCCACTGTCTCCTCCGCGCTATCATGTGCGGAGTCCACAATTCCCCACTCCACCGCCATCTCCGCGTTGATTTTGGAGGCTTTTAAAATCACCTCCCTCCACACCTTCGGAGACGCAATTTTACTTTTCACAATTTGCACAAACCAAGAAGATATTTTCAGCCGGATGTCGAGCTCGCTCATATAAAGGAAGCCTCGGTCCTTGCGCATTACGATATAGTCGTGGCTTAGGGCTAGAACGAAGCCGGCAGCGGAAGCGTGACCGGTGACAGCGGCGATCGTGGGCATAGGAAGGGATGTGAGGTCGGAGACTAAACACCGTAACTTCTTAGACATCAACTTGGGTCGTGTTTGAGCTTGGGCTTGGCCCGGATCTGGATCTGACAAGGCCCATGAGAGGTCGTAGCCATTGGAGAAGAACTTGCCGTGGCCGGTAGTGATAAGGGCCGTGGGCCCCATAGACTCGGATTCAATCTTAGCCCGGTGGAGTGCGGCCCGGATGGAGTCGATCAGAATCGGGTTAAGCCGGTGCTCATCATTCCCGGTTATTGTTACAATAAAGAGGCCATCAAGTTTCTCCAGAGTGCACATATCTCTCTCTCTCACACACGGAGATAGACACACACGGAGATAGAGAGGAGTAACCCGGCTTGTGAATTTGTGTGCGTTTGATTGCAAGGGTGGAAAAAAATATTTTACAGGGAAAAAATTTGTATAGAAAATATTTTGTAGGGAAAATGATTTCAAGTGTGTTTGATTGGTATAATTTTCCACCCAAAAAATTTTTAAATTTTCTATTCGTTTGACTTTATTTTACATGAAAATTGTCCATTAAAGTGATTTTTTCCCACAATTGGTTGTAAAATTTGTTTCCATTACCAAAAAGTAAAAAAAAAAATGAAAAAAAAATGTTCCCTAAAAAATCATTTTTTTATCNAAAAAAAAAAAAAAAAAAAAAATTTTTGAGCAGCCGGGAAAATATTTTCATGGAAAACATGGAAAATGCTGACGTGGTGGGTGGGGGTGGGAAAATATTTTCCGTGGAAAATTTAGGCGGTGTCAAACAGCGCAAAAGATGGAAAACGGAAATTTTTTTCCTAATTCCCTGAAAAATTTCGCCAATCAAACAGGGCCTTAACCTACAATAATAATGTTATTTGTAGCTGATCGTCTATATGACAAATATATGACAATTATGCATCAAATCTCACTAACGACACTATATATGCCACATAGAATGACTGTGATAGTGAACAATTGCAAATATCATTATTCCTTAACGTATGTTCGGTGGAAATTAAAATTCTGATTTTAATTCAAGTTAAAATCAATAATTAATTTTAATTACATATTTTATAGGATTCAAAACTTTTCACCATTTTTTAAATCAAAATCTATTAAAAATCTGATTTCAATTCTCATTAAATATAAGTTTAATACGTTCAAAATCAAAGAAATATAATTAAGAAAAATTGCAACATTATTCCTCAATCTATTCACTCATAGCAAATGGGTCATCGTTCTTTATTTAACATTTACGTTCCCAGCTTATTATTTTCTTTGAACCACGATCTTTCACCACGAGGCACATATTATGTCCATTGAGACAAAATTGTCAAGAACATATCCCTTAGTTTTTACCCTACGTTGTAAAATATGGTTAAATGCATTGTGGGTAACTCAATGTTGAGTGGAGGCGCACATAGGTCACTTGCTTTTAGTTTAGTACAATCAGATTACTCAATTTTGATTTGCTTGTAGATCTAGTCCCTCATACTCAATTTAATACAATCCATTTATCTAACTTTGATTTGCTTGCAAATGAATGAATTGCCCCGACAATTTAACTATCATTGTGTGCTGATTTGGACACTAAAACAGTGTGCCTACTACACATGTCCATGTCGCACAACAATGCACATCACCCATCTTATTTTCTTAAAACACCATATGAAATAAAAAGCACATTTTTACATGTAAATTTTTCATTATTTTAATGTCCAAATGAGCTAATTCATTCGTTAAATTGAAAGTAATAGACAAATTGACCATTTACAAGCAAATTGATATTGGGTGAGTTGATTACACTTCCACATATTGAAGATGAATAAAATTGAGAGCTTGTTTGTGAGAGATTTTTGGGGGAAGAATTGATTTTGAATAGTGATATGATGGGAAATGTGTGGTTGAAAAAGAAGAAAAAATTATTGATATGATGGAAAATATTATTTGATTGAATAATGTAGATTACCATAGTCCCCTGTCAAATCCCTAACAAAAAAGGTCGGAATTAAAAAAAAAAAAAAAACCTCAGTGTCAAATATTCAAAAAGAAAATTGCATTCTCATCATAATTCTTTGATCCTGGTCTTTGATGAATTTTCCAAGTTACCATTGTTGTCTCCGAGTGAACACCTTCCTTCTTTGATCCTGCCTCATCCACTTTCTTCTCCCTTTCTTCTCCTTCCTCTTTCTTCTTCCCATTTTTTCAATCCTCATCATAATTCAACCCGCTTTCTTCCTCACTTTTTCTTCTTACTTTCCTCTTTCCCATTTTTCTCTTCCACCACTTTCCTCAATTTTTGCACTATTCCTCTCTCATTGGACCTCTTTTATGTTTCCTTTCCTCTTCCTCTTCCGACGCACAACTATCTTCATTCAGATGCTCAAGCTTCTCAATTGCCAACGGAGAAGACTTCCTCATTGATACCCTTCGGTTAAAAATACCCCTGTTCCTTTTTCCTCAGCATCACTTGCCCCATTTTCTATTCCTCCTTTTTCATCCAAATTTCCCTTTCCCTTTCTTGCTCTTTCTTTTTCTTCCCCTCCGACCTGGCTGCTTCTCTCCGATTTCGACCTTTTCTTTTTTGTCAAACTCCATACCATCATTATCTTCAATCTTTCCCATTAACTTCTTGATTTCTCTCTTCCCCGTTTTCCAACTCTTGCTTTTCACTCCTCGTAATGTCCTCCTCTGAAAACCTTCCCCCCTGTACACGAGGATTGTGGCTGCTAATTAATCCAAGGTTGAAGGGGTTTGTAACCAAGGAGAATGCAATGAGGTTCAAAGCTCGAGAAAGATGACGATAATTTACCCTAACTATTATAGCTGCATCAGTAAAGGCTACATTAAGAGACTGTATTGATAGCACAAATAGAATCATCTTTTTCATATAGCATCTTCTCCAAAATTCATACATCCAATTACGTTAATAGAAAGAAAATCTTATACCGACAATCATAATATAAAGTATGCTAACATTGCGTCTTCTACAAAAGAAGCTAACTCAGTTGGACAGTATCACAGTGATATGATAAACATGCTATTTGAGCTATGATCAAAAGCTCACAGTTTCGAAACAGCCTTATGACTATCATTGCAATCAGTATCTCCAACCGTCTCATCGGAACTTAAAGCCGCCATCACATCAACAAAAAGGGTCTTCCTGTTCTCCGCATACACTTTTCCATCCCAATTCCTCTTCACCAGCTCCATCCCCAGCCTCGACGCGGCCTCCACTGTCTCCTCCGCGCTATCATGTGCGGAGTCCACAATTCCCCACTCCACCGCCATCTCCGCGTTGATTTTGGAGGCTTTTAAAATCACCTCCCTCCACACCTTCGGAGACGCAATTTTACTTTTCACAATTTGCACAAACCAAGAAGATATTTTCAGCCGGATGTCGAGCTCGCTCATATAAAGGAAGCCTCGGTCCTTGCGCATTACGATATAGTCGTGGCTTAGGGCTAGAACGAAGCCGGCAGCGGAAGCGTGACCGGTGACAGCGGCGATCGTGGGCATAGGAAGGGATGTGAGGTCGGAGACTAAACACCGTAACTTCTTAGACATCAACTTGGGTCGTGTTTGAGCTTGGGCTTGGCCCGGATCTGGATCTGACAAGGCCCATGAGAGGTCGTAGCCATTGGAGAAGAACTTGCCGTGGCCGGTAGTGATAAGGGCCGTGGGCCCCATAGACTCGGATTCAATCTTAGCCCGGTGGAGTGCGGCCCGGATGGAGTCGATCAGAATCGGGTTAAGCCGGTGCTCATCATTCCCGGTTATTGTTACAATAAAGAGGCCATCAAGTTTCTCCAGAGTGCACATATCTCTCTCTCTCACACACGGAGATAGACACACACGGAGATAGAGAGGAGTAACCCGGCTTGTGAATTTGTGTGCGTTTGATTGCAAGGGTGGAAAAAAATATTTTACAGGGAAAAAATTTGTATAGAAAATATTTTGTAGGGAAAATGATTTCAAGTGTGTTTGATTGGTATAATTTTCCACCCAAAAAATTTTTAAATTTTCTATTCGTTTGACTTTATTTTACATGAAAATTGTCCATTAAAGTGATTTTTTCCCACAATTGGTTGTAAAATTTGTTTCCATTACCAAAAAGTAAAAAAAAAAATGAAAAAAAAATGTTCCCTAAAAAATCATTTTTTTATCAAAATTTAGTATTCGTTTGATTTTGTTTTACATGAAANGAAAATATTTTCCGTGGAAAATTTAGGCTGTGTCAAACAGCGCAAAAGATGGAAAACGGAAATTTTTTTCCTAATTCACTGAAAAATTTCGCCAATCAAACAGGGCCTTAACCTACAATAATAATGTTATTTGTAGCTGATCGTCTATATGACAAATATATGACAATTATGCATCATCTCACTAACGACACTATATATGCCACAAAGAATGACTGTGATAGTGAACAATTGCAAATATCATTATTCCTTAACGTATGTTCGGTGGAAATTAAAATTCTGATTTTAATTTAAGTTAAAATCAATAATTAATTTTAATTACATATTTTATAGGATTCAAAACTTTTCACCATTTTTTAAATCAAAATCTATTAAAAATCTGATTTCAATTCTCATTAAATATAAGTTTAATACGTTCAAAATCAAAGAAATATAATTAAGAAAAATTGCAACATTATTCCTCAATCTATTCACTCATAGCAAATGGGTCATCGTTCTTTATTTAACATTTACGTTCCCAGCTTATTATTTTCTTAGAACCACAGTCTTTCACCACGAGGCACATATTATGTTCATTGAGACAAAATTGTCAAGAACATGTCCCTTAGTTTTTACCCTACGTTGTAAAATATGTTTAAATGCATTGCGGGTAACTCAATATTGAGTCGAGGCGCACATAGGTCACTCATATTTAGTTTAGTACAATCAGATTACTCAATTTTGATTTGCTTGTAGATCTGGTCGCTCATACTCAATTTGATACAATCTATTTATCTAACTTTGATTTGCTTGCAAATCAAGTCATTGAATGAATTGCCCCGTCAATTTAACTATCGTTGTGTGCTGATTTGGACACTAAAACAGTGTGCCTACTACACATGTCCATGTCGCACAACAATGCACATCACCCATCTTATTTTCTTAAACACCATATGAAATAAAAAGCACATTTTTACATGTAAATATTTCATTATTTTAATGTCCGAATGAGCAAATTCATTCGTTAAATTGAAAGTAGTAGACAAATTGACCATTTACAAGCAAATTGATATTGGGTGAGTTGATTACACTTGCACATATTGAAGATGAATAAAATTGAATATGAAGTTGGATTATATCTGATTGTACAATAACATAAAAGTCAAAAAAGAGATGGATGGTCAAAATGGCACAACTTTTCCCTTATATACAAAATATTTATTGCTATTAATCATCAGGCAATGCATCTCCTAATTTTGTTTATTGGAATTGTAATGCATTTTATTAGAGACAATAAATCAACTTGTCATTTAACTTCCAAAATGCTTCATATTACTAATCAAACTTTTTAGGGTTAAATATACCAATAACTATCCAACTTTATATTTAGTATCACCATAATCATTCAATTTCATATAATATTTTACCATGCCTATCCAACTTCTTGCACAATTTTCACTAAGGGTGCGTCTGATTGCAATGGAGGAAAATGGGTGGAAAGAAAATGATTTACAGGAAAAATAATTGTCTAGAAAATATTTTGCAGGGAATTGATAATTAAATGTGTTTGATTGGTATAATTTTCCACCTGAAAAATTTTTAAATTTTCTATTCGTTTGGCTTTATCTTACATGGAAAGTATCCATGCAAGTGATAAATTTTTCCACAATTGGTTATAAAATTTGTTTCCATTGCCAAAAAGTAAAAAAAAATTGTTTCCTAAAAAAATCATTTTTTATCAAAGTTTAGTGTTCGTTTGACTTTATTTTATATGGAAATTATCCATTAAAGTGAAATTTTTTTAACCATTGGATATAACATTTGTTTCCATTACAAATAATAATAATAAAAAAAAATTTATCAGCAACCTAGAAAATAGTTTTCTCATCAAAAAGGTGGGAAAACAGTTTCACTCAAAAGGTAGAAAAAAGGCGCGTGGAGGAGTAGGTAGGAAAACTTTTTACCCTAGAAAATTGTTTCTTTTCTAAGTTCCATGGAAAATTAGGCTTATCAAACATGGCCTAAAGGTGTGTTTGATAGGGTTGATTTTCCATGAAAAATGAAAAAGGTTTTCCATTTTTCATGTTTTTTGGTCTTTGATAGCATTTTTTTTTTTGGCAATTGGAATTGTCACTCTCTCACATTGTGACAATTTCTAGCTTTTCCTTGAATTCTTTTTCCCACCATTTAGGT